CTGTGCGTCACCTGTCGCAGCTGAAGCCCTCCACGTTGTCTTTGCAGCGACACTGACCCGTGTTCACGTCACACTCCTGCGTGCTGCCTGAGGGCGAGCAAGAGCACTGCCTGATGGGGGAGAGAGAGAGTGTCAGACTCATCAGGTTTTTTGTTTGTTTGTTTTTCTCTTTCTTTTGTTGTTGTTTATTTGTCTGTTTTGTTAGCTTGGAGAAAAAAGGGGCATAAGTTCTATCAATCTGTAACAACCATGATACTTCCTAATAAAAGATGTTTGAAACAGTTCAGTCAGCAGGGGGCGCTCACAGCTCAGTGTTCATTCTCCAGCAGCCAACCACACTTCAGCTCATGTAATCGTGACCCTTGACCTGACCCTGTTTCCTCCTGGGTCAAAGTTCAAGTTCTTCTTCACTGAAACGGGGTTTAATACTCCTGACGTGGGAGAATGTCTCCTCTTTGGACGGTTCAGTTTGTCTCTGAGACGTCGGCTTCTCTCTAACAAGCTGGCGCCGTGCAGCTGACAGCTCCGCTCAGCAGAGTCGTATCTGACCCACACAGGAACGCCACGGCTCCGTCACCTGCGGCTGGACTGCCGGAGCTCTGTGGACGCCCGGCTGCTGGACTTCAGAGAAAAAGCGTGTCAGCTCAGAGGATGGATCAGCTCGGCCTCTCACCCGAAACCCAAAGGTGGCCGGCTCTCTGTTACTGCCCCCCACATAAAACCAAACACAGGACAATTTAAATCTGTCTTCAGTCCTGATTTATGTCCAGTTTTCTTCTGCTCCGACTTTATTGTTCCAATTTTTTATACATGATTTCATTTTTTAAATGTTTCTCACGTGGGGCAGCTCGGTGTCGCGACCCTGAAGAGGATGAGTGGAAGAGCATGGACGGATTTTTCACATCATTGTGATTTCTGCTGTTTTTCAGTCGAGTTGTGCTGCTGATGTGTTTTCTGCTGTTTCTGGAGACCTGGAATGTAAATGCGCCTGAACTGGGAAACCTCCTGCTCTTTCAAACCTGCTGCAGAAGGAAACGTGACTTCCTGACTGGCTGACGTCAGTCACCAAACAAGCTGGAAAACCAGCGAGTGACAGAGATACTCAAAGTGTTTGCTGTGAGAGAGCCGTGCACCCAGCAGGAGGTCAACCTGAGCTGATGACCTCTGCCGGGCCACGCTCGCGTGTCTGAGCTCAGCTGATGTTTGGGGTTAGCGGCGTACCTGCAGCCGGCCTCCGTCAGGCTGTGGTGTCCCGGCTGGCAGCGGTCGCACTTCTCTCCGGTCACTCCGGGTTTACACGCACACATGCCTCGGTCATCACACTGAGGGGACACAGAGCCTGCACGC